CATTTCTCTATCAGTGACTCAAATTTCAGATACTGAGGCTGTCTGTGCTACACACAGGAGAGAGAAATTCTGGTACATTATGCTGAGACAAATCCAGGGTCACATCTCCAACTCAGCAGAATTTCTCCAGTTTATCTCGGTAATGGAGCTCAGCTTCTCACTGCTATGATCTAACTCCCTGCTCAGCCCCCATGGATTGAAAGAAACTGAGGAAGCAAAGCTGTCTGTCAACACAGGCCAAGCAGCTTGAGAGAAATTTGTTACAAAAAACAATACCAACCATCCTTTACTGAAAATGTTATTCCCTTCTGGGTCTGACTGGAGCATCCTGGATAATCTTTCCTACCAGACTACCACCACAGGTCCATGATACTCAGACCACCTTGACCAAAATACACAAAGGTAATTGCAAATAAGCAGGACTTGTGTTCTGCACAATACAGGCTGTATACACGCGTCTCCCTGCCTCACCCGAGATCTACACAGATGAACATACTTATTTTTTATTTAACAGACTAGGTGAATTTATCATTTAGGTCAATAGTCAGGTGTTCCTTCTGATGCTTTGCAATCATAAGCAGCAAAGTGGGGCGGGTTCTTTGCTTGTCCCCAACCTCTTTCCACTCAGCAGTTGATCCAAAAGCATTTCCCAGAGCAGTGCTGCAGTTAATCTGGGGCTATACACAGGCAGCTGGGCCAGCTGGTCACTCCCAGATACCATAGCAAGATATATGCCCTCTTTTCCTTCTTTGTATTTTCTGTCCCCTACCCTGCTGCCAGTTTTTGTGAACATAATTGTCTCATGTTAACAAACCTGAAGTTGCCCAGTGGTTTCAAAAATTATTAGAAGAGACAGAAAGATTGTGTGAAGGCAGAATAAAATAAAAAAAATCTAGACTGTTTCTTTCAATTGAGCCTTATGTGTGGCCTGTGTACATCCCACATATTTCATAAAAGAAACTTCAATACTTTTTCTGTTTACCTTCAATTAACTGTGGGTTGTTACACCCAACAGCTGCAGTGATGTTTCCTCCATTACAGTATCTTAAAGCTTCAACCTCTTTAACAAATAATAAACCTTCGCATATTAATTAGCAGTCCTCAGGAACCCGAGACAACTGTTTCAAGACTGCCTATAATCTCAGTGGGGTTTCACTATCTTCTAGGGTCTGCTCAAAGCTTTGTATTTATACCATTCACCTCAACTGAACAGCAAAGCTGCATGTGGATGATACAGAAGTAACATAATAAGCAGTGGTAATTGGATTAATAACCCATTAGCACAAATTTAATATCACAGTGGTTATTACTGGGAGTAAAGGGAGGGGTTGCCATTCTTCATGTTAGTAAATGAATCAAACACTGCCACCAAGAAACAGAAATTTTTTTTCTACAGATGAGTGATTTTGTGTTCTCATTTCTGCAGGCAGCACTCACCAGCAAGGAAACTATTTACTAGCTCCACTTTCAAGCACATGTCTGCCATGTATTAACCCTGGAGTAAGCAGCACAGGCAGGTGCTACAGCTGGTTTACAAACAGGCTCCACACCATCAGACACTGGTGACCAAAGAAATCAGATTGGTCTAAGCTGTTTTAATGGCTGCATGGGCATTTCAGTTCCTCATAAAAATGAACACTTACTAGGTTTTTCCCACCCTGCTGTCAACTATGGTTTTGTTCTTAAACCAGAGAAGCCATAGTTTTTCCTTTTCACCCTTCCCACTTAGAAGTTGCCTAGCAAAATCCCACAGACTATTTCAAGAATTAAAGAGGACACTACTTTTGCTGGAGTCCTCCTTTACATCTCCAGCACTTCCCATTTCAAAGGCATTTTTTTTATATAGCCTGCCCATACTCCTGTGCAGACCTGCCCACAGAAAAAGGGGCCTCTGGCTCCCTCACCTACCTGAGATGCCAGAGCCTCCCCTAGACCCCATCTGACTCCTCACTCATCTCTGCTGGGCATGGTGAAAAAGTCATTTGCCATACTGTGGGTCCTGACTGAACAGTGATACTTGAAGCCTCTCCATATGGGAGTCATGAGCCCCAGCAGCACATCCAGTTGCTTTCAAGATGGACAAGTACTGGTGGCCCTCAACATTCGTCAAGAGAGTGAAAAGTCACAGGGATACAGCCAAATCAACAGCAAACAGCCACTGGCCTGTACCTTTCTTAGGAATCATTGAAACTGCTCAGGAAGCATCTCCCTCCCCCGGCAAGTTTGCCGCTCTGGTCTCTTGTTACCTGCTGGCTTGCAAAGCTGTGCTTGATGGGTTTGCAGGAGCTGTCAGCAAATCCCGCGCTGATGCCTTCTGACAGAATTTAGGTCCGGGCTTGGCACTGTGCTGAATTTGCAAAGAACGGCAATGACCCCTCGTGGCCAGGGAGGAAAATACTGGGACCTTCAGTTGCCCCACACATTGGAAAAGATCCGTAACCAAACCTTACCAGCTGGTGCTCTTGGTATCAGGCTTAAAAACAAAAGTGCCAGGTATTCAGGAGCACGGGAACTGGATGAGGCACATACTCTCCCCCATTTCATACATCCCCAAGGCCAAAATATCAAGAATGCTGCAGTGAGCAGGAGGAAACAGAAAGCTCAGAGCTGAAGCAGTCCAGATCTTGAGCTCATTGTTTTTCAGGTTGTACACTCTATAAATGAGTATAAATAACCAAAAAAGGTTCACAATGGGGAGAGGGCTAGCATAAGAAGCCTGGAAATAGGCCACAGTTTTAGAGACTGATATGTAGAGGTAAAAAAAGAACAGCAACAACAAAAAAAAGAGAGGAATAAGAAAAAAAAAAGTAACACCACAGCTGTGTAACCCCCACAGCCTGCCACACAGCCTGCTGCAGGGACACCAGCACCCTTTCCCTAAGATCTGTGTTGTAAGAACCTGGCACTGTCTCACCTTGCAGGTCTGACAGCTCATGCTCGGCACCCACGAGCACGATCCAACTCTAAATTAACCGCACTGCCTCAGCACGTTTCCACCACATCCCCAACAGCACTTTCAAGAGCCTCATAATGCCCCCAACACCGTTCTGACCTGTTAGATGCCTGCAGAGCAGCTGCTTGAGAAGCATTTTGCATTCGTGTACCAGTTCAGCAGAATTTCCAGATATCAAGTCTCTCTAGATGGTAGTGAAGTACAGTCTCTTCACTCCTTTGCCCTTTAACCGACACAGAGTTGTTTAAGTGGCAGAGATGCAGAGAGATGTACTGGATTAACTACAGACCTCTCCATCAGCCTTCAAAAATACTTTAAAAAAAGGGAACATCACATACTTTATCTCATTGCTTGTATATCCCCAATCTGCTTATACCTAGAAGGCTCACAGCAGAAATGCCTGCATCTCCCCAGATGGTAATAAGATAAAGAGCTGCTAAACTACAGCAATTGGATAGGGAAAAAAGAGGTACTTTTCTAATTAAAAGATGCAAAGGCTGCTAAAGCATTTACTCTTTTTGCACTGTTCCTGTCCATGCAGATGTAGATAATGTCGCTACTGGCCTCATGCACAGACCTGAAAGTGTCACCATCAAGCTTTAGTTTTCAAATTTCCCAAGTTGTCTTGAGGATGTGATTGAGAAACCTCATAAAACTCAAAAATAACAATTCCCAGGTCTTGTGTGGAGCATTCCACCGATATCCCCAAGAAGTAAAGTACTATTTCACAGAGGCAGCACGAGCAGAAGTCTGAGTTGTGCAGCAGCAGAATGGATTACCCATGTCCTTGCTTGTCCTTAGCCCCTAAGCTCCATAACGCTCTAGTATTTAGGTAGCAGCGCTGGTGGCAGACATCCAGCCTTTGCTATTTGTCAGGGCAATGAGGCAGAGCTGCTGGGGAAGGCAAATACCACACACACGATCCGAAGCTGCCACCTAGTGCTTACTCTGGACTGCAGGCAGAGCAGGCTGAACTAGGTGAGAAGCGACAAAGGGTGTTTCTAGTTCCTAGGAAAAGTTTGAGCAAAGAATTTTTCCTTTTGCCTGGGGCAAGCACGAGAATTTGTAACATTAGAATTAGATTCAGGGACAATTAGGTCAGGTATTTTGCTTTTTCATCCTTTTTAAGAACTACTGCACTGTGGTGCAAGCAGCTCTAATACAATACAAATCCAATATATATACACAATACATGTATAATACAAATAGTTCTAATATAGCACCAAAGATCTGAGAGGATGCTCTAAGGAAAGCATGACATCCATTCTGTACAGAAGAGTGCTAACGTTTGGCTCTGCATGCCCATGTCTAACCACTGGCCTGAGCATCTTCACCAGTGTCATACTGGGCTCCCTGCCATCCCCCAGACACAGCCACTGCACGACTCACCTCTCGGTGGGATGCTGCAGGGACGCAATGTTGAGAGCGCCACGGTGAACAATGCCAGGCAATCTACTTACAGAGGAACTCTGCACAGAAGATATGGTGAAGAGGCAGGTCAAGTCCTGCTTGAATGGGATGAGAAGCAACAGCTGAAGAGGAGATAATGGGACATTGCGACCATTCTGAGTGTCCTGGCACACGGAAACTTGAGCCAACCATACCTCTCAAGCCAGACCAAATTCATTCTGGAGAAAGACAAGCTAAGGCACACACTCCTGAATGACTGATCTGTTTCAAAAAAATTTATTGAAATGTAAAATATTTAATAGAAAACAATACTGGAGCCTCCTCAGAGGAGCTCACCACATCAGACGTAAAAAAGGGACAGGCAGGATGCACAGAGACTGAGAAGGCACTGCTCACCCATGGCTCCTGGCTCCCATGGACAGCCACATCATGCCACATCCAATCTCATACCCTTGAGACACAGAAGCCATGAACAGCCAGACACAAAATACGGTTAGCAAGGGTGTGGATACTCCTGTCCGCTAAAGACTTGTACCTGTGATCTGCAGTCTTAAAGAGAAAAACCAAGAGCTCTCAGTCAGAAAACAGACTGGCAGATCTATGTCACAGTAAAAGAAAATCAAAACAATTTAGAAAGCCTTTGGGGAAGAGAGAAACATCACAAAAATATATCCCTTCCTATCATTCTGCACAAAGTCCAGGGGCAGCAGACACAGCAACAAGTGCTATGATACATGTCCCAGTTGCACCTGCATCTTCATGAAGGTCAGACATCAATTTTTCAGGCTGCTGCACTAAAGGCTATTGTACTTAAGTACTGTTTCATACTATTCTACTAAAAGGGCTCAGGAGGTATCCTAGGAGTTAAAATGAGGAATTTTGATGGTTTCTGAAGTGTGGAATGAATGTTGGGGACTAGAACACTGGGAAAAAAAAATACTGAGAATCAAAAGCTGCCATGCTGGGACTTCAAATGACTGCATCTGGCCGCATGTCCTATCCCTCCAGATCCAGCAACCTCTGTCGGGTTTCCAGAACGATCTCCTCCATCACCTCCGGTTTGAGAATGTCCTTGATCTGTAGTGGAAAGAAGAAGAGTACCATTGACACCAAAAAGCAACTACTACTATTGCACACTCCGTGGGGACAAGGGTCCCTGACACACAGCAATGAGCAACAAGTGAGTTTAGAGGGTTGTGGTCAAACAAAACTATCATGGCAGAGGGTCCAAGGCAAAGTCAACTTTGCCAGTTAGCAATTCTTACAGAGACCATAAGAAATCAAAGGAGATGCTACTGACAACTCCTAATCTCTCCTGAAGGATGATAAAAAGAGATAAAAACACACCAGTTTTTAGGAAGGGGAGAGATGACTTAAACAGAAGTATAGTTCAAAAGAACATTGCATCTAGCCGAGTAGGCTGCCAGTATGAACGAAAGCAGAAGACAATTCAGATCTTATCCATTTATGAGAAGAGAATTTCCAGTGATTGTGCTGGCTGAAATCACATAGAAAAGCTGTACAGCAAGAGGTCAAACTGAGGGAACCTTCCAGCAGTGCAGGATGTGGATACAAACAGAAGACCAGTCTCTGTACAATACACAACGCTTGCTTTTTCATTTGTTCTCAAAGTGCGCTGTACCCTCACACAATCCCAAATTCAATACTGTTTTCACAAGGATCACAGAGGGTCCATAATCCCAGCAAGGGATACACCTCTATCAAAAAAACAGAACTATTTCTCTATAGGAATAGTTGGACTTTGCCAGAGGCAGAACCCATCAAACTATCCCTGAAAACGTGCAAGGCAATTTACGTTATGCCAAAGGGGAGAAGTTCCTATCGTCACTTACTACAGGACGCTTTGGAAAGCGGAAAGGAAGCGCTGCCACCTAACTTACTGGCCTCAACAGCAACTGAAGCGGCCTTTCCATTCCCACCCCACAGTGTGGAATACAGTAAACAGCACTGGTTTATGTACCTGATGAGGAAGGGATGCTTCATAGCAATACAGGATGCTGGTGTCAAAGAGCATCAACTTCTGAGTAACCAGAGCCACAATGCAGTTTCTGAGCCGTGAGATCACCTCCCGCTCAGACAAGGGAACCGGCTGAGGAAGGACAGAGGAAAAAGAAATTAATACACAGGGAAATAACGCAAGCCTACTGTAAAAAAGCTTTGCCATGAACCTAATAGGAAATCTTTAAAGTCTCAGGTTATTCACGTGCCTCTGACCATGTCAGATTAACAAAACCATTGGCAGGAGAAGGTTCATCTTCCCTGAACCCTCACCTCCAGGTTGGTGGTAAAGCCCCCTGCCTCTTCATGTTTCTGCTCTGGAGTTGGATAGATCCAGATGAAACCGTTGTTGCCGAGGATCACAGATGCACCACAGGGCAAGTCATGGAAGTGAGTCTTCTGGCGTTTCACAAGGGAGGGCGAGACCTGAACAAGCACACCCTGACCAAGCTGAAGAGGAGACCACGAGACTCAACATGAGACACAAGCCACCATAAATAGCATCAAGTCACTGACATGCACTCCACTCCTGCTCTAGGAACCAGTCAATTTTAACACCTTTTCCCGTGAAACAGTGAATATAAAACCTGCCTGCCTCTGGGAACGCTGGGAGGATTAGCTAATGCCTGTGCAGTCCTTTGAAGACGAAGAATAGTCTAAGTGCTTAGCACAAGTGTTAATCATATCTTGATCGTAACTACACAGCAACCATCCCTGCAGAAAAATGAGAAGCCCAATTTAGCAGAACACTTTCTCTCTTAATCCAGTCGCTATCCTTCACCCTTCGTGCAATAAGCACACTTCGCTTTCATCTTTTAAGTGCTAATACCCTTGGTCTGGTAATCCCAAACTGCAGCCTACGCTCCAATGGCCCCTTGGCTTATTTCAATGCACAAAACCAGAGATAAATGCCAACTGCGTAAAGCCTAAAATAGAGCCCTGGAGAGAGAAACAAGTCAGAGGGGCAACGGCCTGCAGAAGAGGAGCGATGAAATTTGAGTCAGAAGATTTTTCTCCCCAGGGTTTAATTTGCAAGCAGCTAGTGGGGGAACTCCCAGGACTCCCAGGCTGTAATTGTGGACAGGGAGAGCAGCAGCTCAAAGGGCAACTCAAGAGCACTCCCTCTGCTTTGCGGAAACTCTGCTCGGTGCTCCCACATAGGAGTTAAGATTCTTCCTAACCTGCAGGAATGGGTTAGAACAACATCCTGCTCTACTCCAGAGCTATTTTTCATTTAAAATCCCTCCAAAAGACCTAATACAATTCAACTGGAGCAGAATTAGACCAAGACCAAGTGTTTCTCAACAACTTACCTTCCCGTATTTCAGACTCCGGGTGTGCAGTGATACAGCCCCATCAGAAAACACAGACTGGACCTCTGCCTGTCAGCGCCACTTAAGGAAACAAGGTCCCTAATGCTGCCCAGAGCCAACAGCCGCTGGCTGCCCCCGGCAGAGCTCTCATGACCAGCCAGGCTGGCTGTTGTCCCCATGCCCCGTGGCTCTTCAGAGTGCAAGCAGTAGAAGGATACACTGATGAGGTCGCCTTCCTGCAGGTAGTCCCTCATCGCAAGCTCATCTTCTGCTGATCTCCTTCTCTGAAATGCACAATGCAAGAAAAGTTACGTGTAGCTCAGCATAAGAAAACATCAGCAAACATCAGCTCATACCTACATTGTGGGGGGACCTTAGGATGCCGTGCAAAATACAATCTGGTCACCAAAAGGAAATTAGGCGGATCGGCAAATCTTTAGATCACTGATACATTTATGTCCAAATAACCCTGAGAGTTAAAAACATCAGAATGCTATAGGCCCACCCACAAAACCCACCACTACCCTTGTGCTGACCATGGGAAGCGCTCCAGAGCTTCCCAGTGCCTCAGCTTCTGCTGTGGAAGCAAAAGACAGGGCTCTGGCACCGCTCTGCGTGAACTACACTCACCAGTTCCCCACCAGGTAAATTCATAGATGACAGCAACAAGACTGAATCTAGCCTGGAATTGGTTTCCACTTTCCATCGCTTCTGCT